GATATTAAAAAAAGAATCTTGGTCATACAAAAAACTTTGAAAAAAATATTATACAGAGTCCTAAAAAAAGACTGGAAGATCGCAAGAATCAAGTCAAAATTTGGAACACAAAGAGCCAGAAGACAGTCCTCCAAAGAAGCAAGAAGAGAAGAGAATCCAGAAAGTTGAAGATAGTGTAAGAAACCTCTGGGACAACCTCAAATGAACCAACATCAGAATTATGGGGATCCCAGAAGAAGAGAGAGAGGAAGATACTGAAAGAATACTGGAAGAAATAGTGACAGAAAACTTCCCCCTGGTGAAAGAAATAGACTTACAAGTCCAAGAAGTGCACAGAACCCCAAACAAAAGGAATCCAAAGAGAACTATCATAATTAAAATTCCAAGAGCAAAAGACAAAGAGAGAATATTAAAAGCAGCAAGAGAAAGGAGTACCCATACAATTGTAAGCTAATTTCTCAACAGAAACCATGCAGGCCAGATGGGAATGGCAAGAAATATTCAAGGTGATGAATAGTAAGAACCTACAGCCAAATATAATCTATCCAGCAAAGCTATCACTCAGAATCAAAGGCCAGATAAAGAGCTTCACAAATAAAAAAAGCTAAAAGAGTTCCTCACCACCAAACCAGAATTATATGAATTGCTGAAGGGGGTTCTTTAGGAAGAGAAAGAAGATAAAGATAAAAATTATGAACAACAAATACATAACTATCAACAAGTGAATCTAAAAACCAAGGGAATTAAAAAATCTGATAAACAATATTAACTGCTGAGTATAATAGAATTAGAGGTATGGAAGGGGAGTGGACTGATGATTCTCAGAGAAAGGGGGAGTAAGGGATGCAGGAAGAGACTGAACAAAAACTGTGCACCTATGGATGAGGACAATGGGGGGTGGGGAAAGGGCAGAAGGTGGGGTGGGAACCTGGTGGAGGGGAGCAATGGAGGGGAAAAATAAGAGGAACATTTGTAATAATCTGAACAATAAAGATTTATTTAAAAATACTAAAACATTATCAATTGAGAGTACTTCTTAAGGAGACTATGGAGCATTCATCTTTGCAAATCTTTGAGACAATAAAAAAAAAATGATAAATTATACATTAGAGATAAGACACTATCAGGATGAAAGGAATGCTTAATGACCTGATTTTGTAGACTAAACTAATGCTCATTATGAATTTTTTCTTATATGGGGAGAAATATGAAACCAATTTACTTTTTTGTTTCAATGTTTATTGTACTTTAAAAAATATAATATTAATAAAATTACATTTGAAATTTAGAAAATAAAAGAAAACCTATACATAGTCCTATCACACAAACCATACCAATGTTAGCATTTTTATATATTTGTTATCATAGTAAGGGGTGAAACTAATTTTCTGAACCTGTTTTTTGGATTTAGAAACATTTCTTCTTACTTATGTGTATGAGAGAGATGAACATCCCTGAAACACCTTCCTCCAAATAAGGTCCATCTTGTTTTGTAAATGCTGGCTAGTAAAGCAGAGGGGAAAGACATTTCCCATCCTATTACTGTCTTCTAGTTCCCTATACTTCCCTTTCTCCAATTGCACACTTTCTTTTCTTACTTTTTTTTAATATCTTTTTATTTTTATTTTAAAAATTTTATTGTTTAAGGTATTACAAATAGTAGTACATATGTCTCCTTTTCCCCCCCACTGACCTCTCCCTGGCCTCCCCTACCCTCCAGCAATTGCCCTCGTCCCCCTGCCCCAGGGTCTTATGTCTGTTGGTTGTTATTTATATGCATGCACACTTTCTTTTTATAGTTGCAGTTGACTCCTTTTATCCTCTTCTTGAATGCCTGAAAATCGCTGTGTCTACTTCATGTGAATTATCCTAGACATGATTGAATTGGGTCAATTTCTAAGAGATATTTGAAAAATTAGTAAACTGCTTCAAAGTTTGTGCTAGCCTATGGAATTCTTCCCACATGTGTTAGAGACCCTCCAGAATATGTGGCACAATTAGTATTTATGACTTAGGAATTTCCCAACTAGTGTGTTTGGAATCTTGTTATTTTTTTTCCTGTGGCCTGGTTTACAGAGCCCCAAGTCTTTTCAAATTCCAGAACTGTGAACTAGGTGAAACCTGATTGTTAAAGTCCTATCAGTAGAGCACCAAGAAAAATATACTATAAATGTTTGTCTTTATGACCTTAAATTTTCCAATTTGGTTAAACTTCAGGCACCTGATTATAGAATTTTCTTCCAGAAGATAATTTACCTTTGGAAAATCCTAGAACTTTCCATTGTCTCGGTTTAGTACTCTCCTTCCACCCCCAGCCTACTTGGGTAGTACTGCTGTCTAAGATTTCTAGCTTTTTTCTACTCATTTTGATCACTTTATCCTTGTTGTTTCTTTATTCTTGTTGCAAGATTTGTTATAGATTTTGAATTGGCAATGTTTTATTTCTCCTGTGCCTTAAAGTGCTTCTCTAAATAATATGGTTGTGGTCTTAAAATGATAATGCATTCTTCTGTAGCTTTTATAACTTTTCAAAAGTAAATCATATGGATTTACTTTCCTTACACTTAATTTCATGAGCCAGTTGCTCATGGGAGAAAAAGACAGAAAGGTACTTGTAAGCTCTAAATCAGGGATCAAGAAAGCATCTGCTGTAGTTTGTCATTTGTGTTTAAATAGAAGAGATTTAGGTATAGCTGCCTGTTGCAACATATGAATCATTTTGCATTATTTGACCTGTTCTTGAATAATATGGAGGATAATGGGAATCTTTAGTAGATATCCTATTTGACTTATTTTCCTCTCTGAATATCAGAATGCCTCGAACATAATAAGCACCTAGTAAATATTCATTGGACAAATGAGTGAGACAATCAAAGGTTTTGGAACTCTTACTCTTCCCTTTTATAATTCCCCATCTATGAATCTCTCATTAGGCAAGGGATTAAAAGACCTGATTTCTGGTTTTATATATACTGTGTACAATCTTTAACATGAGACTCATAATACATTACAAGTTATTTGAAGGCCCCAAAGAGATAATAAATAGTTTTAAACATTTAAGTACCTCATAATTTAGCACAGAACTAGGTCCTGAGCAGTATATACAAGAAACTGAAGTCATTATTCCTGCCTTTGGGGAGATGCTAGTATTGTTGGGTATAATGAAGCAGAGTTCCATAAATGTAAAAGGAAAAAGTATGAGATCTGTGGGATGAATCTGGGATTATTTTCTTCTAGAACATACAAATGTTATGTGAAGAAGGGATTGGATATGGATAACATAAAATAATGGTATGTCTGTGAAACATTTAAGTGGAATGAATCTGTCATTTGTTTTCCAAATTTGGCAATACATAAAATAAATAAGGAATCTTTAAAAAATACCATTGCATAGGCCTCATCCTAAACCAATTATATGGGAGTGGCGGGGGAGGCTTGGAAATCAGTGTAATTTTTAAAAATCTTTCCAGGTGATTCCAGTGCATAGCCAAATCTGATAACAACTGTTCCAATGTTGTGCTTCTGAAACTTTAATCATTTGGAGATTTTGTGAAATGCAGAATCTGATCCAGTAGGTTTGAGATAGGACCTGCTATTCTCCATTTCTAACAAACTCCCAGATGATGCTGACACTTCCATAACAAGAACCACACTTTGAATAGTTATCTTCTAAATTGTATATAAATATACATATCAGGTAGTGAAAAAAATGGACATGGAAATAGCATTTATTTAGTACCTATGTGCCAGGAACAGTGCTGGTAACTTTATGTATTATACTATTTAATCTTTTTTGTTGTTATTAACACCCACCCAAGGATATTTTTTCCACTGATTTTTTTAGAGACGGTAGAAAGAATGGAGAGAGGAGAGAAACATCGATGTGAGAGAAACATCGATTGGCTGCCTTTCACTCATGCCCCAACCAGGGGTGGGAGGCCGAACCTGCAACCCAGGTATATGCCCTTGACTGGGAATCAAACCTGCAATCCTTGGGTCCACAGGCCAATATTCTAACCATTGAGCCATGCAGGCCAGGGCTATGTCATTTAATCTTAAAAACAGAAAATAATAGCTCAGCCAGTGTTGCTCAACGGTTTAATGTTGACCTATGAACCAGTAGGTCACAGTTTGATTCCCAGTCAGGACACCTGCCTGGGTTGTAGACTTGATCTCCAGCAGGAGGCAGCCAATCAAAGATTCTCTTTCATCATGGATGCTTCTATATCTCTATCCCTCTCCCTTACTGTATCTGAAATCAATAAGTCTATTTTTAAAACTATTTTATAAAATAGAAAATAATATAATAAGAATAAGAATTTATTACCCCCAATTTAGAAACAAAGAGTCACAGGTTGAGTCAGTAAACCATTTTCTAAGGTTGGACAGATAATTCATGATGCAACTTGGATTCACACATAGATATGTCTGACAGCAAAGCCCATAGGTTAACGGACATTTTTGGATACCTTCATATAAGCATTTAGATTTGAAATAGTAGGCAATGTCTTTGTAGCAATCTCTTCATTGGATCACCTAAGGAAAGTTTCTGCGTTGCCAAGGTTGATTTCACATTCTTTCTTCATATAGTATATCTAGGCAAGTAAAGAACATGACATTGTGCATGCCTCTAGGCTAAGGTTGTGCTCCAATATTATGGCATTAAAGATCTTGGAGGAGTTAGAGTAGAATGTGAATAAATACTAATTTCAAAGTAGCAGTGCTCAGGAAGGATGTCAAAATTCAAAAGTAAAACACAAACGTTTTCAACTATTGATTTCAAAAATTGTTGACTATTGAGGAAGAAATTGTGTTTTCTGAAATTATTTGGCTCTGACTCCTTGATTCTTTTAAATGGTCTTCCAAATGAAAATATTCCTTAAGTAAAGATAGCTAGATAGCTTATTTCCTCTCTCTCTCTCTCTCTCTCTCTCTCTCTCTCTCTCTCTCTCTCTCTCTCTCTCTCTCTTTCTAAAGTGATATTCCCCCTCTCCTTCCAGGAAGCTGAAAAACGAACTCCTAGAAGCGAAACATAGAAGTGGCAAGATTCAACAAGAGACCAGCAGAGTCTGTGTTCACTGTCAGAGAAACCTGGGCTTGATATTTGACCGGGGAAACCCATGCCAGGCCTGCTCACTGAGGGTGTGCAGTGAATGTCGGGTCTCGGGCCTTGATGGCAGCTGGAAGTGCACTGTCTGTGCCAAAATCACGTGAGTTTCTTGATTTTGCTTGGAAAGCCAGATTTGAAGACTAAAAGGGAAAAACAAGAAAGAAAAAGAGTATTTAAAATTTTTGGATAGAACGTGGAATTATAAGTATAGCTCAATCACAGGTTCAGCAAGACTTTGGCATTTGGCAGTGGTGTGTGTGTGTGTGTGTGTGTGTGTGTGTGTGAGAGAGAGAGAGAGAGGGGGGGGGGAATAGATAAACAGAGACATATACAGAGTAAAAAATAACAGTATTTTTATTGTTTAACACTATAACATATAGTAAAATTAGAAGCCTGACATAATGAGGTCTCTTTCTGCATTTGAAAACCACACAGGATCTTCTATTAGAGCTCCACTTGGCTCCATGTGACTTCTCAGACAGCATGGACAGTTACCTTAGACATTTAGGGTAACTGGCAAGATAGATATGAAATTTCTGGGCTATCTCCACATCAGCTGAAAGACAAAACTAGAGTAGTTCCTGAATTTTTGCCAATCTAGTTCTTGAGAAAGGGTGAAAGGAGAGAAACTTCTCATTCACCTCTGCATTTAGCCTATTGGAGTAAATGGTCACAGGATTCTCTATTTCAACCTGGGTATAAGTCAAGAATCATTGTTTTCTATAAACTGGGGTCTAAGTCTGATGTGGAAATAATAAACTGGAGTCTAATCCTAGATCCTACTAATTCCATCCTTTTGAAAAGTCTCTCCCTGGACCAACCAATATATTTTCTCCCTCACAAAGTCACTTCATTTCTTCTACCCTAGGAGGTGCCTAATAATCTCATCTCAAGGCAACTTTGTGTTGATCTGTTTCCTGTGGTTGAGGTGTTGGAGGGTGCTGAAATCACTTCAGGTTCATTTGATTTGATTTAGTTAAGTTTATCTTTTCCCCTCACTAACATATTCTCTTTTAAGTGTTAAGAGGATAATTTTAAGAGAAAAGTGAATCGTTTAATAGTAAGAGTGAGTGACCTTCCATCTCCAACTACTCTGAATAAAGGCTAGTGTGTCTGATTGAGGATCCCTATATTCAGTGATTGCATTATTTAATGTATGTTATTTTTCCTGTACTTTTTCAAAAGTGATCCTGAAATGAGCAATTCATGCTATGTTTTTCACACTGGATTAAAAGAAACAGTTCTAAAGAAATGAACCATTTAAGTTATTTTATTACTTTATTTAAATGCTTAAGAAACCATCTTTAATATTTTGTCCAACACCAGTAAATTCCTTTTAATGTTTCCTTCTCCTAATTAGCAAACATCCTTCTATAGACCTGTGGGAATGAACACTGATTTTGAAATCATTGACATATGGGTTGTAATATAGTCTTTGTTGACATTTGTATTCTTCTTCTAAATTGAATTTAGGAATCTGCAAATCAGGATGCACAAATAATACTATATATCTTATCTTTTCTCATTAAATAAAATTATTTACTTTGTGTATTTCTCTATATACCTGTACAGGAAAAGTATCAATAATGCACTTTGCTTTCTACTTAAAAGTAATCTGGCTCTAGCTGGTTTGGCTCAGTGGATAGAGTGTCAACCTGTGGACTGAAGGGTCCTGGGTTTGATTCCAGTCAAGGGCACATGCCTGGGTTGTGGGCTCCATCCCCAGTAGGGGTTGTGCAGGAGGCAGCCGATAAATGATTCTCATCATTGATGTTTCTATCTCTCTCTCCCTCTCCCTTTCTATCTGAAATATATATATATAGTAATAAATACCTGTGACTCAAGTAAGTAATGCAAAAAGTTGCTATTTCAGACCTTGGGCAATCCTTCAGAATGTTTGGGCAGGATGGGTGTGGGATGAGAGACATCTATAACATATGAAAAGAGAGAGAGAGAGAGAGAGAGAGAGAGAGAGAGAGAGAGAGAGAGAGAGAGAGAGAGAGAGAGAGAAAGTTTGTTTGGTCCTGGTTGGTTGGTTTGGTTCAGTGGCCTATGGACCACAGGGTCACTAGTTTGATTCAAGATCAAGGACAAGTACCTGGGTTGCGGGTTCACCCTCTACCCATGGTCATGGCCCATGCTGGAGGCAACCAATAGATGTGTTTCTCTCATATCCATGCTTCTTTCTCTCTCTCCCTTCCTGCCCCCTTCCAGCCACTCTCTTTGAAAAGCAATGAAACTTATATGCATGTATATAAGTCCTTCGATTGATCTATTATCTCCCCCAGATCTCCCTACCCTCCCCACTGTAATTTGACAGTCTGCTTGTTGCTTTACTGTCTCTATATCTATCTTTTGGTTCATCAGTTTATAATGTTCTTTATTATCCATAAATGAGTGAGGTCATGTGGTGTTTCTCTTTCATTGACTGGCTTATTTCACTCAGCATGATGTTCTCCAATTCTATCTAAGTTCCTGCAAATGATGAGAATTCCTTCTTTTTTATGGCAGCATAGTTTTCCATTGTGTAGATGTACCATGGTTTTTGGATCCAATCATCTGCTGATGGGCACCTAGGCTGTTTCCAAATTCCAGCTATTGTAGATTGTGCTGCTATGAACATAGGGGTGCATATATCCTTTCTGATTGGTGTTTCTAGATTCTTGGGATATATTCCTAGGAGTGGGATTACTGGGTCAAATGGGAGTTCCATTCTCAGTTTTTTGAGGAAACTCCACACTGTTCTCCACAGTGGTTGCACCAGTCTGCATTCCCACCAGCAGTGCACAAGAGTTCCTTTTTCTCCGCAACCTCACCAACACTTGTCGTTTGTTGATTTGTTGATGTTGGCCATTCTGACAGGTGTGATATGGTACCGCATTGTTGTTTTGATTTGCATCTCTCGGAAAATTAGTGACTTTGAGCATGTTTTCATGTGCCTTTTGTCCTTTCTTCTGTTTTCTTTTGAAAATATTCTATTTAAGTCCATTGCCCATTTCTTAATTGGATAATTCATCTTCCTTTTATTTATAATAGTTGTATAAGCTGTCTGTAGATGTTGGAGATTAAACCTTTATCAGTGGTAACATTTGCAAATCTGTTCTCCCACACAGTGGGCTTTCTTGTTGTTTTGTTGATGGTTTCTTTTGCTGTAAAAAAAGCTTTTTATTTTGATGTAGTATGGGGGGGGCAATGTTAAAATATGTACACAGATAATAATTTAATAAAAAAAAGAAGAAAATAGAAAAGCAATGGAAAAAAATATCCTCAGCTGAGAAATAACAACAAAAAGTTTGTCTCAGTATGAAGTGATGGGTTTCTCCAATTCTGATCTACTTAATTTAGCATGTCAGAGTTGAATATAAAGGCTTTTTCTACAGTATTTTATTATAGTAAAATAATAAATCACAGAGAAAAATAAATAAATAAGCATACCTTCTTCAATTTTAGTTTTACTTCTTTACAATTTTCCAAGAGTATTTGTTCCTCCCAGTTCTTAGTAACCACCAGAAAAGAACAAATTAGTAAGAAGTAAAGTAAAAATAGGAAAACAGATAGTAGCATCCTTTTCCTTTATGGATATAAAGTATATGTTCCTTTATGGATTTATATGTGCATGACCTTTATTTTTTATTAGAGTTGACTCACATACACAAAAGAGCACTAATAAATGAATAAGTTTCTGAATTTTACTATTATTGATAGTTTATTTTTTAAAGATTTTTAAATATATTTTTATTTATTTCAGAGAAGAAGAGAGAGGTAGAAACAATCAATGATGAGAGGGAATCATTGATTGGCTGCCTCCAGCATATTGGACCAAGCCCACAATCCAGACATGTGCCTGTGACTGGAATCAAACCTGGACCCTTCTGTCCACAGGCCAACTCTCTATCTACCAAGCTAAACTGGCGAGGGTGCATTATTGATAATTTAGATGATATGATTCTTTGCTGGGGAGGGAGGGACTGTCCTATGCACAGTATGATGTTTAACAGAAGTTTTGGGCTCTATCCAGTAGATTCCAGTAGCACACCTCCCTTTCCAGTTGTGACAATGAAAAATTATTCCAGACATATCTCCTGAGGAGCAAAAGCTGGCCCTGGATGAGAAGTACTGGTGGACAGCTTGGTGGACTATCATTATATTTATGTCTCTATCACTCAAGTGAAGATATGAAACCTCACTAACACCCCAGAAGCCTTTCTCATTCCTCCTTCCAATCACTACTCCCTTTTAATTCCCCAACTAATAAGCACTATCCTGCTAACGCCATAGAGTAGCTTTGATTTTTTATACAGCTGCTCCTCGATTTACAATGGGGTTACATCCAGATAAACCCATTAGAAGTTGAAAATGCTTGTAATACACCTAACTTACACAACATTCTAGGTTGGCATAGCCTACCTTAAACATGCTCAGAACACTTACATTAGCACAAATCATCTAGCACAAAGCCCATTTTATAAAGTGTTAAATATCCCATGTAATTTATTGTATGTACCTTTTTTTGCACCATTGTAAAGTTGAAAAATCACAAAGACCCTGTAAGTTGATGTCTGTCTGTACATTATATAAATCAATTTATACAGTGTGTATTTGTTTATAACTTACTTGGGTTAACATTTTACTTGTGAGACTAATCCATTTTTGCTGCATATAGCAGTTTAGTCATTTTCACTGTTTTATGCTATCACATTTTATAAATATAATAGTGGCCCGGTGCACAAAATTTATACATGGTGGGGGGTGTCCCTCAACCCAGCTTGCACCCTTTCCAATCTTGGAACCCTTGAGGGATGTCCGACTGCCATTTTAGGCCCAATCAAACATCCCTCTCACAGTCCAGGACTGCTGCCTCCCAACCGCTCGCCTGCCTGCCAGCCTAATCAAACCCTAACCACTCCCCTGCCAGCTTTATCACCCCTAACTGTCCTCCCCTGCAGGCCTGGGTGCCCACAACTGCCCTCCTCTGCTGGAATAATCACCCTAACTTCCCTCCTTTGCCAGCCTGATTTCCCCTAACTGCTCTCCCGCCAGCCCAATTGGCCCTAACTGCCCTCCTCTGCTGGCCTGGTCACCCCAAACTGCCCTCCCCTG